CCAGATCATTGAATTTTTTCTTCAAACCATCCAGCATATCTTCTAATTCTATTTCTCTCGAAGATCGATTTCACTTTGATAAAGAAAGATCAACGTCACTTTGGTCATCTTCCGCATCAGAATGCATGGGGGAACTGGAGAATTCAGATACATTGTCCGCTTCTTCATCGATTGCAATGCCGGAATCGTCGAGATGGAAAGACCGACCTGATCTCAGAGAACTGTTCATCACATCTGGGCTTGGTTCGGGTGTTTCGGCTTGGGGCTTTGATATCTCGGGTGGGGTGTCCGAACATCGAAGATGTGTATCATGAAGATTCACCATTGAGACGGGTAGAATCACATAATTCGGGATCATCTTCCGGCACTGGCCACAGATTTTCGCAGACTTTGGTAGAAAGGGAAACTTCTTGTGTATTGCCGAAAAAATGGGCGGCAAATCCAAACCATTGTGTCCCTTCTGACCAGTAATCCGCATTGGATTCGCACACCTATCACTTCGCGGCATTCTATGAAATGCAAAATTATCAAATCCAATCCAAAATTATCCGGAAAATGAGGATTATTCCAATAAGTAACGTGAAAACTGCTTACCTCGATACAACAGACAGGAAAATGCGAATCGATTCGCAAGGAATTGTACAATGATGAAAACTCAATGAGGAAGTTGAAGTTTTCACTAAAACTAGAGCCTCAGGAAAAACTGATGATATTAAATCAATGAATTGATTCTTTTTGTTTTCTTTTCTCATTTGTTTGGTCATGATTAGGCGAACTTCCGATGATGATGACACAGTATNGAGGATTATTCCAATAAGTAACGTGAAAACTGCTTACGATTCGATTCGCAAGGAATTGTACAACGATGAAAACTCAATGAGGAAGTTGAAGTTTTCACTAAAACTAGAGCCTCAGGAAAAACTGGTGATATTAAATCAATAAATTGATTCTTTTTGTATTCTTTTCTCATTTGTTTGGTCATGGTTAGGCGAACTTCCGATGATGATGACACAGTATTGCTCTCATAGAAAGCGAAAAGACGCAAAAATTTGAAGAAAATTTTTTTCCTGACGCATTGTTTCTCTTTTCCATCGCGACGCATCTCTTTTCTAACTCATATTCATCAAAGTTATGGATTGAAATGTCAATTTCTCAAAAAAAAAAACGAGGCAGCTCTCCTAGAAGGCGTAAAAACACGAAATTTTAGGAAACAAAAATTTTCTCTTTTTTGATCTGGGAGACCCGGGTTCGATTCCCGGCTGGATGAAGCGGAAATTTTTTCTCTCTAAAATCTAATTCTCTTAGAATTCTTTAATGCCTAAAGGAGGTTAGGCGGTGTTTGAGGTGAATTTGAGAGTGAATTTCTGTGGTTCCCGGTAGCTTAGTCGGTAAG